CACAGCAACGGAGACCCAACACAGCCAAAAATAAATAAATAAATTTATAAGCAACGAGAAAAATTAAAGCAAAAATGCCTTTAAAAATTAAGAAATATAGTTGAGATTAGAATTAAGGGTTTATCAATTTAAAAAGCTGGACCGAGAACACTTTTGATCTCATTCAGTCACAGACTTGATTTCACATACTTCTGACGTGTTTGATGTAGTCAACGGAAGACAAGTATCAATTATGTAATAATTACTTAATAATGTCAACAGTATAATGTGGCCGAAGAAATTACGAGCCAATACATAAACAAGATAATTAGCATTCAATATCTTTTCCTACAATAAGAATTAGATAATGTGATGCAGAACAATAATGATATCCCACTGTTAATAAAATGACTGCAGTATTGTGGTTAATGAGACACAGAAGAATTACAAATAAAAGGGAAATAAAATCGCAACCCAAGTGAGGGATTCATTTAGCCAGTCTTCAGCTAAGAAGGTGACACTATAGTTACAACACAGAACTTGGAAAATCCTATTACCACGAATTTAGAGCCGACCTGACAATAAAACTTAAGTGATATCTTGTCTTAGGAAAAAGCACCGGGTTGCAAAAACCTGAAACTGTTAAGTCACAGCTAGAAGCTCAAAAAGTCAAAGCTTGAACATAAAAAAGCAGTCACCTGAACAGTTGCCAGCTTACTCTTTGAGGGTAGATGCAGGTTTTATGCTTATGTTAGCATTTACTGTAATTACGCCCTTGAGCAGTTCCAGTCTTTACCTGGGCAAAACCTCCCCAGCATCACCCACCTCTTAGTCTCAAGTTATCAAGAGGTGAACTTCGGTGACCTGAGATGGCCCTTTTATTGGCAACGCTTGTGACCCTGGGAAGGTGTGTGTGTAGACACGGGATGAATTGGGAGATTGGGATTGACATATATACACTACCATGTGTAAAACAGACAGCTAGTGGGAACCTGCTGTGTAGCACAGGGGGCTCGGCTCGGTGCTCTGTGATGACCTAGGTGGGTGGGAAGGGGGGAGGGGAGAGGGAGGTCCCAGAGGGAGGGGATATATGTATACATATAGCTGATTCATATGGTTGTACAGCAGAAACGAACACAACATTGTAAAGCAATTATATTCCAATAAAAAAAAAAGAATTACTTTAAATTACTGATTTTTTTTTGGAATTCTGTATTTATGCAAGTGTGGTAGCAAGCTTTCTAATCATGTAGTTTTGTGTATGCTATTTTTAAGGTGCTTAAAATTATTAATTTGCTTAATCTGATGAGTTAGAGTTGCAAGAGCTGCTTTAGGTACTTGAGAAAAATTGGTTCATTAAATCTAAAATCTTATCTAAGTGTTAAGAGAATCAATTTATTCAAACATTCTAAGGAAAATGATAAGTATGTATTAAATGTGTGGGAATAATTTAATCTGTTAAATGTAATAAAATGTAAGTAAAAATGATTGCTTTACATTTTCACAAAATAGATTTGAGACAAAAAGATCTAAAGAATGTCTAGTTTAAGATTAAAATATGAATATGAATTAAAACACAAGTAACTGTCAATGTTCCTCCTTGAACATTCTTGTAGAAACCCCACAGATACTAAAAATAAATTACTAACAATTCTAGTGCCAGGTTTTTTCTTCATTTTTAATATGAGACACTCATTATTCGTTTATCGACACTAAATAACAAAGGATCCATTTCATACCAAACGAAGGGCTGTCTTAAGTTTTCAGTTCTTAAAGCTTATTACTAATAACATAATCATACTCATTTTTCTTAAATGGCAGCATAATTACTTACATATAACACATTATGAATGGAAAATAAGTAAACTTTTACCTTATAAGAATAGCTGATATAAAAATTATTCACCTGAGAATAGATTCTTTCATTTTATGTAACATGTTCTTTCAGGAAAGAAAATGAAAAATCAATGTTAGGAACATTAAAAATACATGAGGGGTCGGGCTTCCCTGGTGGCGCAGTGCTTGAGAGTCCGCCTGCCGATGCAGGAGGCGCGGGTTCGTG